TTCAAAAGTGGCGTCCGCAGACGATCGTCCTGAAAGAAAAAGCAGAAATGGATGTAAAGACAAAGGGAATGAGAGGTAGAGAAAAGAAAGAAATTGGGAGGAGGGAAGAAATTAAGGTCGGAGTGAGGGGAGTGGGGAAAGAGAGGCAGCAGAAGTGAATGAAGACTCAGAAATGAAAAAGTTAAGAGACACAAAAAAAGGCGAGAAAGGGGGATAATAAAAAAAATATGATGGAGCGTTAAAGAGCGAGACAGAGGGTCGGGGTATGTAGATTCATTTTGTCAACAATCCAACATTAATGGTGCATGACAAAGAAGACCCTTGGAAGCCTGTTTTCAGCTGCAAACCTCTCTGCGCTAGTCTGCCCACGCTGAGATCCCTGCACGTTATTAACGGAAGCACCGAATACAGCTAGGGATTAACCGCTGCGTGAAAAAGGCAAACGTGACAGGGACGAACAAGGGGGTGAGTTCTGTCGATAGGTAGGAGCTCAGAAATATCTTGAAAGAGCTCAAAAGAAACAAATGGAGTTAAATTTCAGCATCTCGCTGATGTGTTGGCTGTGAAAGAAAAAGCTAAAAGCTCAGAAAGGGAGCATGAAGCTGTTGTTAAAGGATCAAAAGATATTCATTTATTACAGAAGAGTAAAAAAAATAAAAAACCGTGTCATCTTTGACCAATCCGGTCTTTTTTTTTCCTTTGCTTTATGTCTCTACGCTAAACATCTAACAGTAATTTTTGATCATTGCACTCTTTATGGGTCGTCTGTTTTAGGGGCAATTTTTGACTGAAAAACTGGACACCCACCCAAATCACACACTGACCTGCAGGACGTGTTAAAGAAGGCCAGATTTGAGCCACGCTGCGTGGTGAGATTTTCAAAGCCCCTCCTGAATTTTTTAGTGGCCACAGAGCAATAATAAAGGCTGAAGAAGAACACCCCATCCCCCTGCACTTAATCACTTTTTAGATCAGTGTAATATGTGAGGATTCACAGCTTCCTCTCCTCCACAGTAAAGATTTAACTCACCTGGATGTTGAGGCTGAGCTTCTTCAGCCGTTTGAGGAGCGCCTCTTTGTTGCACGGCACAAACGCCTCCATGTGGGAGTAGATTTCTGAGCGCACCTCGGGAGGCTGCTCTTGGACCTGCAGCTCAATACTGAGAGAAGGGAGAGAAAGTCCAGATTGTCAGAAAAGCGGTAAAAAGAAACAAAAGAGACGAGACAAGAGAAAAGACAGAAGTGCCAAAGGAATGAAAGCAGGGTGATTGAAATGAGAAGCATGTCATTACTGAAGAAAATGAGAGACGGAGAGAAAACAAAACAGTTAAAGACGGCAGCGGCAGAGGTGACGAGGGAAATCTGCTTCCCAAAAAAGAAAAAAGAAAAAGAAAAAGGGAAATGGAGAAGAGTGTGCTGGGATTTGGCTGTACAGTGATTTAAAAGCTGTCCTACTCACTCCAGGAGAATGTTATTCATGTCCAGGGTGAAAAATTTCTTCCTGCCCTCCTGATCAAACTGCCGCGAAGCCTGTGGGAGAAAGGTTGAGTCAGCATTGAGCACTGTACCATACGCTGTAAATACATATACAACACTGCAGCGTGCAAACACTCCTCTACCTCCACAGAGCTATACATGACTCTAAATATAACAATAAACCTGTAAGCAATTATGGTTAAAGTGGAATTTGAGCTCAGCTGAAAAGTGTCGGTGTAACTTTAGCACAGACCAAACAACTAAAAGAACATGAAGAGTTACACTTCCCAAAAAACAACATGATTTGGTGTAAGTTTTGGCCTGTATTCCTTGTGTTTAGAAAGTGTACAATTTACTCGATCAATTAATAAAAATAAATAAAAAATTTAAAAAAACTCACTCTTGCTGTGATGTTACTGCAGAAAACCTCTCTTCACTGCCCTGCTTCTTACTTTCCATTGTTAGTTATGACACCAGATTCAGCTGCAGTCTACACTAATAATGCTCATAGTCTGTTACTTCTCTGCAAGCCTGTGTGGCCACCAGCAAAGGAAAAATAAAATATGTGGGTTCTTACAGCGCCGAACACCAAACCTGTCCGGGACCTGAACTCAATAGGAACCTTACTGTATCAAAGTTACCATATTTTTTTTAATTGATTCAATTCAGTTTTAATTATTAAGCACCAAATCACAACAGCAGTTGCCTCAAAGTTCTGCATATTAATAATACAGAGAAAACAGACAACAATCAGATGAGCCACAATGAGCGACAGTAGGAAGGAAAAACTCCCTTTTAACAGGAAGAAGCCTCCAGCAGCACTGGGCTCTGCGAGGGGCAACCATTGGCAAGAGCTGACTTCCCTATAGCAGCTTTACACTGGGTGGCTTGCTCCTTAAGCAAACTTTCTTCTGATTGGCTGCACCTAACAAACAGGTCTAAATAGCAGGTAAGTGAAGCTTGTGTGCCATATCAGGGAGATCTGCTCTTTCTGACATCATAAAGAGCCAAGAGCAGAAACAAATATTGAAAACAGTGTTTGGAGCAGTGTTACAGGGATTACTTGGACATACTGATCTCATTATTTGAATCTTTGGCTATGTTTTAAGTGCTATCTGTGGTAACAGTGTGTATAGAAAATTTAAAAGGAAAGCATAATAGGTCCACTTTTAAAGAAAATACTCCCAAATCAGGATTTTTCCCTTCATGTTATCTTTGAATCAACAACAAAAACAAATATATTTTAGCACTATTTCTATTTTTATTTCTCCCCTCTGGCTCAGTCTGCTCTTCTCCGCCTCTGAATCCATCAATCCTCTCCATTGTTTTCCTACCTCTCCTTACATGTTTACCAACGTCTATAAAAAGATGGGCGGCTCTAAGATATAAGAGCAACGAGAACATAAGTATATGTTGAAGAGGTAGTGGTGAGAGACCTGCTGCTGTTTTAGTTACATAAAACCCCCTCAGGGCTCAGTGTTGAGCCACATTTCTCCAACGCTTTAGAGACTTTTCTCTCCGGACTAGACAGAAACAATAAACATCCTCTGCCACTTCCTCAGCTGAATGGCATTTGTGTTTAACTTCAGTGAAGATGTTTCACAGGTAATTGCAGTCGCCCACTAACAGCCTACAGCTGACTCACCACCCGCAGGTCCTCGATGCGTTTAATAAGTGGAGCAGGCAGTCCATTGGGAAGCGGAGGCGGCGAAAACAGTCTGCTGGAGGACCCCGGGCCACGCCCTTGGCCACCTCCTCCTGCCGCTTTATGAGTTGGCACACCGACTCCCAGTATGCCATTCTCTCTGGCCGTCGCCATGGCGTGCTGCTGGTCGGTGTCCAACAAGCTGAAGTCCAGGTCGCCCAGGAGATCCTGTAGCTCCTTCTCGTTGGCTGAGCCCAGCAGTGACATCACAGCGGGGTCCGAGGTGAGGTCTGCCAGTGAGAGGTCGTTGGCGGCTGTGTTGTCCTGCAGGTGGGTGGAGTTAGAAGATAACAGGTGGTTCGTTGTATTGCCAGAGTGGGGCTTGTTAGCCACGCTTCCTGCCAGGCCAGAGTGAGCCATGTTGGGGTTTCTTTTCCTCATCTCTTCCTTCTCGCGGGTGAAGCGGCGGAGCATGGTCGCTAGGTACAGAGAGTCCTTTATCAGCTTCTTTCTCTTCTTCTTCTCCGGTCGGTGGAGGCTGAGAGCTGTGACTCTGTTGAGGGAAACGAAAACATGATGACTGCAGTGCTTCTTAAATTTTTCTTTCATTCAGAGCCCAAACAGGTCACACCTCCAATTTTCAGTCAATCATTAAAAATAAAGATGGACCCAAGCTGAATTTATTGAAGTGAAGGTCAGTGACGTTCATCTTTTTTCTTGATGAATCATTGACCAGTTTCACTCCATTTCCCCCTGATTGTCTATGCTCCCTCTGCCGTCACTCTGTGCCCCACATCACTGTTTCACAGCCACTGGATTACATTCACATTTGTATCCAAGACATATAAAGAAGAACTCAAAGAACTATCAAAATCAGAAAACTCTGTAAAATATCCATGCTGGTGTCATTTGCAGTGACAAAGGCAGCTTGCTCAGGTTTCTTAAACCTTGAATACAGCCTCATCTGGCTGATTTACATTCACAAACATATCAGGGACAAAGTTAATCAATATCACTTTAATTCAAAAGTTCAACATTCACAGAAAATACCTACAAGTTCAAAGAGACAGTCAAAAAAAAACTTTCCAAAGCCCAATTCCTTATTCTCAAATCTTTCTCACCTTTACGCTGCTTTAACAAAAGGTCATGAAAGTGGCACAGAAGTCATTTTAAATTAAACTTAATCGTTATATTACAGCCATTTTCTTGTCACTAGTTTTCATTAATGTAGCTTTAGGAAGATGATGCCCGTGCTCTTAATCCCACCTTCTAAGCTCTGATTAGCCAACTGCTTCTCCAGCTGCTGCAAACAACCATAAAGGGGTTGCAGTAAACCCATCTGAATGCTTAAGCAAATCTGAAATGTGGGCGGCTGTTTTGAGGTCTGAAACCAGGCGAGTCCGCTCCATTTTGAAAAATGTTAACAAACTCACCGGCCCACGTAGGACAAGGCACCAATAACGATCTTTTCACAGACAAACTGAGGCATCGACACGTGCTGACAAAAACAGATATGAGGCAAAAGTGTGGGGATTCAGTGGGATTAACCTGCAGTCTACTCTCAAAGGTCTGACACACATACACTCCCATATATAACATCATCCATTTAGCAATGGCACAATGGCAATAGCTGTGGCTATTTTTAGACGTAGTATTCAGGATGGAGGAGTGTTGGAGTATTCGGCATATACGAGCGTAGATAATGGAGCATTTCCTAGAAGGTGGCTTGCTTGTCACAGCAGCTGCGAGCAAGTCTCAATAAGCACCCCTGCCTCGTGATAGACGTACGAGAGGGTCAACAGAAAAGCAGAGGGGTGTAATGTCACACAGGGTGGCGGTTTGTTAGAGGGGTAAAGAGCACACAGATGCCTCATTGCATATTTGTGGTGGCCCACAAATCACTGGGTGTCTAAAAAGGTCAGGAGAAACAGCCTGTTCTTATATACAGGAAGAGACACATCTTCAGAATAAATCACCTGATTAGGAATATTTTCTGAGAGCTGCATGCAAAGCGATGTCCTCCAATTCAGGAGTTTTGGCTTGCTCAGCTACTCATAAGCTTCTCACTGAGCTTAATAATAAAAACCACACAAGCCCCAACACAAACGGACAGGGGAGTAATATTACAAAGCCGCGGTTCTCACCCCTGTTTGGGTACTTTATTCTTCTTCGTGCTCTTCTCCTCCAGAGTGTTTCCTTCTTTCTTCTTCCTCCTCTTGATCACCTGCTCGCTGTTGTCATTCAGCTTCTGAAAAAGCCACAACAACATGCGCTCATTAATTCAGATAAACAGCAGACAATGACTGATAATGAATTCGGTGTGAGCAGCGCTCCGTGCGGATCAGTATGCTCTTATTGGTGTGTTGAGTGATGCTGTCAACACCGTATCTTGCTAACCCTGATGAAAAACGGGCTCTTGCTGGATGTTAGGACTGCAGCGTCACATGGTCTGATAAGTAGAGTTCAGTTAACGGGATTTAGCTCAAAGTTTGAGCACCTTGCAGTCGCCCTAGGTCATTAAACTTAGTACAGGCAGATTTGTTTTGTATTTGGGAAATAAAAAAAAAAAAAAAACATTAAAAGCTACATGCTAACATCATCACACCAACATGCTGACACAAACCAGGTATGTTTGCTATGGTGACTGACATCTTGGTGTGCTGTAGTACATTTGTAGTACTCGTGTCTTTGTCCGTATTAATCGGCTACGGTACGGATTTTAAACCAGCCAATCAGAATGTGACTTAAGTGCAGACTTTCAGCTTTAATTGAAGGGCGTTTACAACATGTTTAAGTGTTTAGGAATTAGAGAATTTTTTTGTTTATACAAAATCCCTTATATTATTATTACTACTACACTATATTATGCTATATTATATTATAAGACAATGAGTGACAGGCAGCTTTATGGTCAGGTGAGCTCCTTTGTTATTTTATGACAAATGAACCACGTGTCATATCTGGAGTTGATTCAAAGTGCTGAATTTGCATTTTATAGCTTTTCACTTTAAGAGATGTGAGTATAAGTAAGAGAGGCCATCATTAGGTGGAAAAAACAAAATAAACCTGTCAGACTGGTTTAAAAAATAAAATAAAAATTTAAGAGAAGCCAATCTACAATACAGTACAAAGGATGAGTGCACTAACCAGCCCAGCGACACCAGAAGTCCTGAAAGGCCACAGAATTATTTCCATGATCAAGAAAAATAACTTTGCAACTTCTAACCAAAGTCAAGAAAAACTTGAATCATTGCTAAGATCTACAATCAAGAGACGCCTTCATGAACAGAAGATACAGGAAGACCAGTTTTGACTTTGAAAGGAAAATCTCTGCACTGCCTGCACACTTCTGGAAAAGAAGAATTATTAAATACAAAACTGACTGCCAAACGACCAACAAACAGCAGTAAGTGAAGGGGACTGCAGGAAAGGCCTAGCAGAGCATCTCAAGAGACAAAACGGGATTTGGTGATGTCCATGGATGTTAGTTTGTTCATGTTTGAGTTTGAAAAAAATCGGGAACGCTTAAAAAAAAATGTCTGTTGATTCTTAACAGTAAATGCTAAATTTGTGTTAATCTGCTTAAATCAAACTTCAGTCACATCCTGATTGTTTGGTTTAAAATCCATTGTGGTGGTGCACAGAGGCAAAACCCAAAGACTGTCCAGCAGGTTGTGGACCTAACTCTATGTTGCAACTGAGTTTCTTTCTTTGATGCTTCATGTTTTGATTTTATTTTAATTGATTATTTGCACATTGTTCTTTCTTTTTTTGCTATCAGCCTGTCAGTCACCAGTAAAGCACTCTAAACTGCACGAAACACGCTACAGACATAAAGTTTACCAGCGGAGTGATCCAGCAGACTTTGAGGCGTAAAGTTAGTCTTTCTCTTTTAGGTTTTGGTATTTATTTAACAGTTTATTGTTGCATCTGGATTTTAATGGTGAGGGTGTATTTATTGTGCTGGCTTTCTTATCTTTAAATTAAGAACCACTGAAGGTCTTAATTTATCACCCTTTGGAGTCGAATTCAATTTAACTGACTCAAACACCGAAATATTGAAATATGCTCAGGTAGTCTCACCTTGTCTTCTTCTCCCTCGGATTCAGAGGCCGCTCTGAACTGCAGCGTGCCAGTGTTGATGTAAAATCCCCCCAGCTTTGTGGTGAGTGAGGCGGGCACCAGCTCGTCATACTGAGGAAAACATTAACAAAGGAAGACAAGCTGCAGTGTGAATTTACACGACTCTGGTAAAGAATAACGCCACTTGCACCGCAGCTGTCTGCAGCTTTAAAAACATTTTGAGTAACTGGTAATGTGTCACCAAGCAGCTGCTGGTCAGTGAAACTGAGGGTGTTAACTGTGAGCCAGAAATAAATAAATCAGTAAAAGAATCCCAATCCCCTCCAGGCCACAGATGAAAACAATTTTCCCATCATGGCACATATCAAAACAAAAAGGGGGAAAGAAATAAGTCAAACAGTGTGCAGCCAATTTGTGAGCAGAGAGGATAGCTATTTAAAAACACCAAGACAAATATCATATAATGGCAGGGAATCTATAAAAGAGCATAATTCTAGCTATTACAGCCAGACAGAGAGTGACATCCTCCGAATACTGAGTTATAAACACTGAGACGACAACGACAACAACAACGTATTCCTGTTTGGACACAAGGAGCACGGACGTCTTCATGAGTCATGAGGACTGTTTTAGACTGCAGTCTCAGGTTGGTTTAATAAAGGACAACTGTCTATCTTTAGAAGTGCCACTGAACGTACAGTTTGGAAACATCAAGGCAGGAAATAAATATTTAACCACAGAGGGATAATGTCTACCTCCACACATCGAGACCAAACAACAGCAGTTCAGGAGCGTAACGAGGACATCAAATAAATCAGCAGATAATAAGGGAGCGAGGAGACTAGCATGCCACATTATTATAGAGACAAACATAGACACTCCACTACATGAAAGTCTCAGAAAACAGACACACGAGAGGGAAAAAAAACACCTCGTTAGTCATGAAGAAAGGAATACTCACAGCCTCAGAGTTGTCTATAAAGGGGTCTGTCTCATCGTAGCCAAACCCAATATCGATCAGATCTTGCATTCGATCCTTCCTCTTCTTCTTCCCCACGTTCCCCTAAAACGTTTTTCGTATAATTTAATTTTCATTTACAAGCAGAACACAACAGTTTTCTTCTCTGTAATCCTCACACAACCCGAAACCGTAAAACATTAGCACAGTGAGAATTGAGGAAATATTTGTAATACTTTTGTTTTTGGGACGTTTGGTGCTCTGATGAGTGCAAACAAACACACTTTGACCCCCACAGAAACAAATCCAGTCTGATGGATAAATCACTTCACCTAATTATTTTAAAAATTAAAAATAACAAAATCAACGGATCATTTGTCTTTTAACTTAAAGATATATGGCACAAACAGTAATAAGCATGAATATTTCTGTACAGTTTATTGCTTAAATATGAAATATCTGCCACAAAGACCCTGTAGTGCTGAAACCTTAGAAGCAATAATTCACTCGAGGTTTGACAGTTTTTTCATTACAAATCAAGAGTCTGGAAATACCAAGCATCCCATAAAACTTTTGGAAATAAGTGTAGCTTAACTTAAAAACCATAAGTTATTAAAACTAACACTAATATGTTTAACTAATAAAAATTAGTGACCATCAGCTTATTGGCACACACATATCTGTGCGTGAGCCGTTGAGCTACAGAGCAAGAAAAACATTATTAAAGTGGACTTATGCATGAAAACCTATTTACACTACTGAAAGAACACTTTGCTATCCATAAGTCATAAATTTAATGTTATTACCTCAAAACTTCAACTCTGCAATTCAAAATGTCATTAATTTCTTCTAAGTTTAGAAAACCCAACTGGACATTTTAGGTAACAACCTGAAATTTTGATTTATATATGTTAAGCGTTTATTTCAGTGGCTCGAACAAGCTTTGATTTCCAGAAAACTAATTTCCAGATTCATATTTTTAGTGCTAGAGTGTAGAGTAGCTTAGCATGATTCGCAGCTCAAAACAATCTTTGCTTATCCTTCCCACTTCCTTTAACCCAGTGGTTCTCAAACATATTCTGACATTCAGCAGCCAGACAGTTTGTGCTCCACACCACAATTTTTATTAATCAGTAATATTAAAAAAAAATCCAAGATGATTTTTTGTTAAATTAAAGGTCAGTGGGGTAGGATCAGCAAGCTCTTTGGTTTTTCTTAATAAATAAATAAATAAAAATCACAATCATTCACTTCATATTTGTCACTTGGTTACCAGCTATACAGCCCATTGTTCAAGAACCACTGCTTTAAGTCAGCTTTCTTCTGATTGGCTGTCATTGACAATCAAAAGGTTTGAACCTCAGGTGGGTGGAGCTTCTGTCCCCACAGAGTTGTGTGGCTAAGGTGATCACATTAGTTTACAGACACGTGATTTTATGAAACCTGTCCACATTTAATATCAATGTCCATGACTGTAAGAGCAGACACAGTATAATGAGGCCCTTTAAGATTATTTACTTTTTAGCTGTGAAATGTGATCCTCAATTAAATTGAGGATCATTAAAAAAAATAAATAAATCAAACCACTCACATATTTATTTTCAAACTTCTTAGCCAGGGCTTCAACCTGGAGCCGCTCTCTCTTCTCCTCATTGAAGGGGTCATCAGGATTGCGGGCTGAAGTCAAACTTGGAGCATTATTCTTTGCCTGGAAGAAAATTTGAACAACAAAACAGTGAACAGGAATGATCGGACCCCCGGGGCAAAGTCAAACAGTTGCAGTGACTCTGTCCAATCAGAAATTTATCAACATATTATCACAGCAGCCTTAAATAAGTGAACAGCTGCAAGTGAGTGCTGGTACAAATGCTCAAAATATTCCCAACACGGTGCTGGCAGGACTACTGTTTGGCCCCGAGTGAGAAATATTTAATTAACTTTTGGTTTATAAGCAGAAACCAGATGATCCAGATGTGCACAGATTGGCAATGTGTGAGCTTGTCTTTGATCTCACTGCTGACATTTGCCTCACTCCCATGTTACATCCTGGTACTTCCATCAGCAATGCTCTCTCATCTATCTATCAGCCGCTGCCAGAGGGCCAAACTGCATGTGGCATTTCCAAGTGCTGTAATGGCTGTGTGACTGGGCTGTTGCTGGGCAAGCCTGAGTGGAAAGGACACAGGTAGCAAAGCAGCACAAGACCAGCTTCATCCCTCTCTACATGTGGAAGAGAGGCGGGGGAGGAGGTCTCCCAGCCCTCTGATTTAAAAAGCTAGAATCTGTGAGAGCTCAGCAGAAGTTGGACGTGTTGGATTAAAAAAAGAAGATGAAGAAATGCTGCTCTCTTTTGTGCTGGTCAGTTTCAACCACGCTATGCCACCGAAACACAAGGTGCACCCCCCTCTCCAGCTAACTTAGCAAACACAAGTCCACACAAACACTTCCAAGAGCGATAAATTAACTCCGGCTCCACTCTCTCTCCCCCGGCCTCGTAATTCTGCTTAAACTCGGGGATCCTACCTGGAGGTTCTGGATGAGTTCCCCGTAATTAAACTCGGCGGAGGAGCGGTCGTCAGGCTCGGACAGAGGCAGGTTTAGCCTCACGGTCGCCCTCTTTTCGGCTGCAGCCTTGTCCCTGTCGCCGGTTTTAACGAGGCGACCGTTGCTGGCGGCACCTCCTGCCCCGGTCGCTGCCTCGACCTCCCCGGCTCTGTCGAAGTTGAAGTCGGCCTCATCCTCCAGCCGCCGTTTCCTGGACTCCGCGGCGGCTCCAGCTGCGAAGGCCGAGAGGGTGACAAACTGCACTTTTCTCGGTTCGGCCATTTGGATGAGCTGCCTGCCTGAACCTCGCTCCGGACAGACAGCGACAGCGAGGAGAAGAGCTACTTCGCGAAACTACTCCAAATTGGTGGATTGAAGGCGGTTTCGCGGAGCTCCGACGGCTGCTCGGTGCCTACGCGGACGTTACAGCCTCCTCCGCGGCATACGGATTAAACTCCAGGGGATGCGACGCTCGGGGAAAAGTTGTTTTTTCGGCAGCTACTCGCATCCTCGATTTGCTATGGGACTGAGACATTCACAGGAGCCATCTTGGGTTTCGGGAGTAAATAAAAATCAGAAGAGAGAGGGGTCGCTGCGCCTGCGCGTACGCACTAAACGGAAGCACAGTGCCACAGGGGGGTCATCATGCCCAATCAGCGCGTGGCCCGATCCTAAACCCGCCTCTGTCACAACAGGCTATAATCACAACACCATCAGTACAATAATGACCTTTATAAAGTGTGTGAGTGAAGGACAGGCTGTGTGGGGACTCTGACCGCGTGCCGTGTGCCGTGTTTGAATCCACAGCTCTCACCTGGACCTTTTCATTTAGTCTATTCAGGGGGAAAAAACGCTGAATCGTGCATTCTTGCACGCGCTCACTCTCCAAACATCAAATCGTAAAAGGGAAGAAGGCAAGCCAGATGATTGGCTGCTTCAGATAACCATCCTAAACCAGCTAATTTATCCACCTGTTGATGCACACTGTAAGCAGAATCCCAATAAAACGCGTGTTCACATATACCCAAAGAAAAGTATTTTCCCCCTTCCTGTCAAAGATAAGAGTAAATCCAAAATGCAGTTTTTAAATGATTTCATTTATCAAGGGGCAAGCTATCCAAACCTATCTGGCCCTGTGTGGAAAAAGTAACTCCCCCCTAGTCAAAGGCCACTCCAAAACTAAAACAATGTGGGCCATGATTCCTCCACAATGATGAGAAGCATTTATTGCCAGAAACACTAGACTGCAGTTCTTGCTGCCAAGGGTGGCACGAACAGGTATCAGGTTTAGAGCAGGGATACTTTGTTACACATGTCAGGTAGGTTTAGCTTTTAAAATCTGTTTGATGAGCTGAAACACGTAAGTGTGACAAATATGGGGGGAAAGTAGATAAACTGTTTCAGGCCTAAAGAATCCAGACGAAAAGAAAAAGTTCAATCATATACATATTTATTTTGTAGGTTTGGCTTCAGCCAAATTCCTCATAAGGAGTCACTGTGAGATGAAGTCAGAGTTTGAAAAATATTCTTTGCCTAAATAATAAAACTGTAAATAAATGAACACCTTTTAAATCAAGGCTGTGTGTCTTCAACCTCTTAACCCTGTAATCCTGTATACTTTTCCTGCATGTTTTAATCTTTTCGTTAATTTTTAGCATGACTATAATATTTATAGTTTTATATTTCTCTGTCTGTGAAGCACACTGAATTGTCTTTCGTCCTATACAAATATATTCAACTTGAATTGTCTTTCACATAAACACAATCAGCCTCTGCAGGTTAAAGGTGTGGTATGGCTTGTGCAAATGGAAAACTTTATTTTATTTGAATGCAATCTTTCAAAGTCTCACTAAGTAAATGCATTAAAGAGTAAAGTTTTTGTTCTTATACAGCAGTGTTTGTACTCTTCTGTAATCTCTGATAGCTGTTAAAGCTGTTAATTCCGCTGCTTTTCGGTCTGCTAGTCATCTCTGGCTTTCCACAGGGATCCCCCCGTAGATGTGCACTTTAGTTTGTGATCAACACCTCTCACATCTATCTTAATAAGTTTTTTGACTTGACTTGACATGTGGTCCCATTTGTAAACTACAGCCAATCAAAATCTATGACAAAGTCTACCTACGACAGGGGGGTTAGGGATAAAAATGCACACGGTTACTGCATAGAAACCATGTCTCAATTAGCCTGCTGCAAACCCCCCGGGTAAAAGTTTGCTCGCAGGTCCCTGTCAGCCCCTCCCCACTTTTCTCACTCTGTATTGGAGGGGGTTGGGTGGTGGTCCTGATAGATTGCTTTGCAAAATTTGCAACTGAAATGGCACCTCGCTGGTTTTCACAGAGACCAGTTCAATGGTCACTGGTTTCATTGTGTGCTCTGTTTAGAGGGAGTAGCCCTGATTTTGTCATTCTGGTCGAGATGGATCTGAAAATCATCACAGGCACAGAATAAAAGATGAGTATGTTTAACCAACTGAAAGTAGCTTAGCAACCTGACAACAGCGAGGACTCGAACCTAAAAAGTTAAAAACTTTTTGATGCGTTATATCAAGAACCTTCTTTTTTTTGTGCATTTCCTGATTTCAAAGGCCTTAGTGAGCAATCAGCAAAAGCCCCAAATCCCATATTGTGAAAGTAAAGTGGTAGAGATTAGGGTTAGGATCTGTGTTATTATCATTGAAGAAGACTCTGCAGAGGCAGGTTAAGGTTTAACTAATGACATTTCCACACGCTTACTGCATGTCAAAGATTTGATGTCACTCAGAAAACTGATTTTCCTTTTAAATAAAACCAGAAAAACAAAACCGTGCTGCAAATGACTGATGAACAGAATAATTAATGATTTTAATAAAAATGTCTATTCTGGTCCAATACTGTAATCTATTACACGTTTATCATGTTAACAGAAGATCTTAATGAGAAAACTGGCCAAAAAATGGGCACCACTCCTTTTCCTATTTTAACAGGAAAAGTGAGTGAAGGAGGTGATGTCAGACAGACTGGGGTGAGTCACAGAGACCTATCAGGCTCTTACTGCAGCTTCATTAATAGCACATGAAAAGCACGTATTTTACCCATTTCAATATTTTCCTTTTAAAGACAGGTCTCAGACGAAGGCCAGGGTCATAACAGCTATATAAAAGTGGAATACTGCCTGAAGTGAGTGCTCCTTTAACTGTTTATATGTGAGCCCATGCACACCATTGTGCAATGTGGAAATACCAGTGGTGCAGGTAAAGTGTACTTCAAATGGTGGACTTTTATGTAACTTAATAGGTTTTCAACAATTTAATTTTTAAAGTATTTTTCAGAGTTAATACTAAAACTGGAATCCTTCCTTCACTGGTACAGAGCACAGCTTAGCAGCTATGCTCAATAAACTCTTAGGAAATATGCAAGGTTTAGAAATAGCCACTGATGTTTATAGATGTTGACAGTATGAAGTGTTTAGTGTGTAATTTATGGTCTGAAAATGTTTACACACTGACATTTGTTTTAAAAAAAGTTTAATCCGGTTAAATTATGTGTTAAATTTAAATACATGTAAACAGAACAGCACAAAGAACTAGAGTATAGTAGAAAAATACAAATCCTTCTTGATGTGGGATAAATCATCAGTGCTGCTGTCTGCATCCCGGCAGCTCTTATCGTGGGCTTGGAGTCTTCAGTTCAGCACTGAAGCCTCAAGGCTGTCACGAGAGGAGGACTCTGTTGTCTTTGGCCCACTTCCTCATAATTCGGATGATGTACTCGACCTGGGGGTTTCCTGAATTTCGCAAGAGGGTCAGCACCTCTTTAAGAGTCTCCCTAGGGTGCAAACAGGATATGTGAGGATACAAGATTACGTAAAGAATGCACAATCTCTCATGTTTACTTTGCTTAAACCTCACACCCATTCCTGCAGACGGCACGATGATCAAAACCAAAACCACCCCACAGGAAAGAGAGACAAACATACTTGGGCTCCTTGTTTGCCAGTATGAGCTGAAAGACGCCGACACACGCCCCTCTTTTCCCCTCCCAGTAGTTGGAGGCTGGGTCCAGCTTCTCCAGTGCATCAAAGGCCTTCGCTGCATAGTAGAACTGACCCATCTGAAACGACAGGCTGCAGTCATGAGCATCGGCACGCAAAGCCTGTTTACTAACTTCTTTAACTTCAGGTGGACTATTTATGCTCATTCCCAGCTCCATATTGTTGTTTTTGGACTTTAGAGTAGGTTTGTGTGATTCACGGCTTTTTTTTATTTCATGTCGGCCCCTTGTGCTGCCCCTCAGTTAATCCACTGTCTAAAACAAGCAGTTTGTGTCTCTTTGACACTTCTTCTGATTGGCTGCCCCTCACAAACAGCAAGTGGACTCCTGTGCTCACAGTCAGAGCTGTGTCCCTGAGATGACCTTATTACCGATATCTCCTCTCTTTGACAGCAAGATGTTTAGAGGTAAGAGTCTGAAGTCTGTGAACCTAAAAGTGAGTTTTTGACTCAGTGATGACCTCATTTATATGTAAGCATCCAGCACTCTGACAGTTACACACAGAAAATAAAGAAAAACACAGTAAGTCTACTTTAAAAAGATATCAAAATATTTTCGGTGAAGACTGCAGCTGCACAGCCTGTGAAAAATACCACAAAATCCAGCAGGCGGAGCATAAAAGGTGCCGTTTCTCCATTTAAGGTGACATTTGGGACTTCTAAATACATCTGACATTTCTGAATTCAGGATGCAGGTATTCCTCAGAAATGTTACACAACTGAACTGAAGGACTCCTGCCTTCAGCAATAAATGAAGGCGTTTTAACAAGTGAGCTGCCACGTGTAGTCATGCAGCAGCCAGAATCAATGATTTACTCTCAGACAACAAAAACATAAAAGTACTGCTGTTGTTATGAGGCTGAGTATTTGGTGCTTTTCTTGATCTGATACCGTGACAAGTTTTTGTCTTGTCTCCATCTATGGAAAATAAATAATCAGCAAGTTACTCAATAAAGTATCAAATCATTAGCTGTGGCTCTTTGTGTAAATTCATCACAAAAGGCGAATAAATATTCAAACCAGGGCTGCGACTAAATAATAGTTTTCATTTCAGGAACATTTTTGTTCTGACTAATTCATTTTCTCCAAAATCTTAAAATGAACCCTGTGAAGTCGCAGTTATGAGCATAACCCTTCAGTTTGTTCTGAAGATGAGCAAAAAAGTATTTTTGGAGCAACGTAAACACTTTTTGTTCACCTGATTGCTGAGACTACGTGTTCTGATAGGATTGGGGTCATCACTGCTGATGAGTAAGATCTCACAGGGTTAAAACAGCCACCACATACAGTACAAGAGGAAGAGGAGGGAGGAGGATGTCACCTTGTAGCAGTCATTGGCAATGAGCTGGAGCAGATGGAAGGAATCTGAGGAGGTTCCCATCTTCAGGTAGAGCTCCCAGGCAAGCTGACCCTTCTGGTTCATTATGTCTGATGAGACCGAGATCAGTGTTCAATAACCCAACGCTCACATGCAGTTTCAGCTCTATTACATTCAAATATGGAACATTTTAAAGGCGGCGGGCAGGTTTTATTGATGTAGATTAAAGCTGAGAATGGAACAAATTTCTTCTATCAGAGGTTTCTCAGAGCTGCTGAGAGAAACTCCAGCTGAGTGATGAGAGACCTTAAATTCTTTAAAGGCCTCAGGCTGGAAATGTTTGATTCGGGCCTCAGCCTCGGTGAACGAGTAAAAAGGGGCGCTCATTTCTGTTTTCACTGTGTAAAGGTGTCTAAGAGCTTTTATGTGATCAGATGAAGATTACTGTATCCTTTTCATGTCTACCTAAAAAGGTTTCGCAGATGTTTGTGCAGCTGGCAGCAGCAACTAAGAAACTGGATCATTTATGCTCCTTGTTTGGTTGTTACACACTTAGTTATAATATATGCAAAACTCCTCATCTTCATACTGAACAAACACCTTATCAGCAGAGTGAAATTAACAGATGGCGTTCTTGTGTTGGCAGCTGGCTGCAGTGAGGATTACTCTTACAGTTTTACTGATTATTTTTGACAGAATCAGCCAAACTGGTTTAATAATAATAATAATTGATTTTTTTATATAGCGCTTTTCGGGGCCCTCAAAGCGCTTTACAATTCCACTATTCATTCACTCTCACATTCACACACTGGTGGAGGCAAGCTACAGTTGTAGCCACAGCTGCCCTGGGACAGACTGACAGAAGCGATATCGCACCATCGGCCCCTCTGGCCATCACCAGTAGGCGGTAGGTGAAGTGTCTTGCCCAAGGACACAACGACCGAGACTGTCCGAGCCAGGGCTCGAACCGGCAACCTTCCAATTACAAGACAGACTGCCAACTCTTGAGCCACGATCGCCCACGATAGCACCTTTTAATACTTCTGTGTCAAAGTCTAGCTCAGAGCTGAGCTGCCCAGGACAGATTTTCTTCTGTTATATTTTTGTTTGAATCCCTGTTGTGACAGATGCACTGTTTTTTTTATTGTTTGACTGGACTTTACCATTTACCATTTTACAAATACTAAACAAGCAGAGTAGGAGTTTGCTTTCTCAGGGTTTTCTGGGATGACCGCACACATACATGCATGATAAGTCTGCATATAGTAGAACAATGCGTCTATGCTGCTAACAAATCAGCAGCAAGTGTTTGATTGAAATTGGGAAATTTAATTTGGCTCTGACTGAAATCTCATTGGGGGGAGGCAACATAAATTCCCCTAAGCAGGAAAAAACCCCGACTAGTGATACTTCACTGCACTCTGCAACAACTGTGTGATGCTGTCATGTCAATATGGATGGAAATCTCTGAGGAATTTCCAGCTTCTCACTGAATCTATGCCACAAAGAATTAAACCAGGGCTGAATAATGAAAGACCCCCTTATTATTGTAGTAGCAAAGTGTACCTAATAATGTGGCTTGTGACTGTAAATACACTGTATTACTATTAGTATAACATCGACTATACATACAGCATCGTGCCAGCCAGCTGAGGTAAACATAGTCATTCTTGATCTTTTCACTCTGAATGAGCAGAAAAACCTGTGAACCAAAAATTAAAATCAGTAAAAAGAAAAAGGTCAACAATTTATTCACAGACATATAAATGGCTGCTCAGTTAGCGTACCTCTTCTGCCTCTCTGTAGTTACCAATCGCTGCTTTTGCCTGAGCATAGTTGAAGTTGAATGTGTCATCGTTGTAGAAGTAACCCTGAAAAAGAAAAGCACAAAAAGGACGAGTGCCTACGTGTCCAGAAATAAAACGAGTGTCAGCCTTGTGTTGGTAGTACGAATCATGGAGGAGAAAACACACACACACACGAATAAATGTAAAGCACCACTTGTCATCTGAAGTGGCACTTCTCACCCAGCGTGTGGGCGAGTGTCTTTTTTTTTTTTTTACCTGAATAAAAAAATAAATAACACTGACTCTCCACTGCAAGCGAGCAACACCAACCTTGACCGAGTTGAGATAAATGAGAACGTCTTCAAACTGTTTCAAGAGAAAGAAGCAGGAGGCCATGCACTGTCTGCCAGGAATAGTATCTGAAAGGATAGAAAATGTAATACACAGATGCTAACACACTTTCCTCAAATAATAAAACAGGTCAGATTTCTGTGGGGCGTACCGCACTCGCTCGCCGAGCCTCCGACCAGCTGAAAGAACTGCTGAGCAATTTTTAAGTGATCCCTCTGAAACACGAAAGCACAATCGCACATTTGTCTCACACACGGAGCCATCATTTTTGTTTGCATGTAACTCTTACAGAAATACTCACTGATCCGATTTTTTGTCCTAAAGCAGCGTTTACCACTCCTTTCAAAATGTACTCCTATTAAAAAAAAAGAAGATCAGAGTGAATCATTTGATCCATTGTTTCATCGCAGCTTCAAAGTCCGTCAAAATCCATTCCAACAAGTAAGGGAAAAAAAAACATAAAAGGAATACAAAAGCCAAACACGTCATGAGTTTCGGATTGTTCAGATCCAGGAGACATTAAAGTGCTTTTGAAGATAAAAAAAATAAACTGATCAGAGGAAGGAAAAATCTCCTTGAGAGCTCTTAAGTGGGAAGAAAGAAGAAGAGTTTTTGTTAGCAGGATTTATTTTATCTGCCAGGGTTGTTTTTGTTTTATTGGGCATTTTCTTTCCTGTAACAAGACCATACAGTGACCTTAAAAATACAAGCACTGACTCTAAACTTAACATAAAAGTTTAACAAATATCGTATTAAAGTGAAACTGGAGAGACTTTTGGAGTCAAACACCACCACCAAACGTTTAAAAAGACAAAATTAAAACTTAACCTCACCTGAGGCGTGGTGGGGACCAAATCCTGGATGAGGTTATAAGCTTCCTCGACATCGTCTGTGAGCAGAAATGCGAGTGTGTGAATGCGTCAACTCTATCAAAATCTGGTGATTAATACAGCTTTACATGAAATTAACATCTATTATCACTGAATAGCGATGCTGCACGATAAATTTGATGCAGTGAAAGAAAGAGTGCATCACGTTATGTTTGCCCATAATTTTTAGCTCATCCAAAGGACCAATGAGCTTTTGCAAAGCCAAGGTGTACGTCACCCATTTATCCCCATTTCACAAGAATCGCTGATCCTCTCACAGTACTGTTCAAAAGGTAATTTTTAGTGTCACTTGCACACAATTGTCTCCTAATCTTCACCCAAATTAAGCTCATGGTCAGATTTGTCGCTTTATGGGAATTCATTTATAAAGTGCAATAGATTGTGAGTCAGAGAAGCTATTGTATCACTAATGTTTTGGTTTGTTATTAAATGAATGGCATAATAAGTTAGTATTACATAGTGTGTCAATAGGACTGTGTTTCAACATACTCATGACACATGTTGTTCATCTAGACCAAGAACATTTCTGAAGCATAAATGCAGTTGTGGTTCTAGCTGCATTATAACATGGGCTGGATTGGTCGGACAGGGGTGAAGGACATTGGGTCTCGCGATCTTGTCTCTGATTTTTGTAGTTGACAATTGCCCTCTAAGTATGAGGACATTGTTCTCAGTAAAAAAAAAGGATGGGGTTCCCACTCCAGGTTGGGGAGCAGTTGCTGCCACAAGCGAAGGAGTTGAAGCATCTCAGGGTCTTGTTCACAAATGCAGAGAGGGTGGAGACTTTATCTTTCAGGAAAGACAGGTTGTTGCAGTGTCTGCAGAATAATAAGGAGTACAGGGCTATGCTGCTGATTTACTGATCGATCTGCGTTTCTACTTTCACTTGGCCATGAGCCCTGAGTAATGACCCCCACGGCTTCCATAACAGAAGAAGGACTAACAGATTCCCAGGCATGAGGCCTCATTTGTGTTGCACTCTGTACTAGTATACCCTGTCTAATCCCTTGTTTTGCCTGTATTAAAAAAACAAAACAACAACAACGTTGCAGTGATGTGGCTACACACCTTGCCTGAGATAGTAGATGACCAGGTTGAGTCTGGCTTCAGGGATCACATCAATCAGAGGAGGCAGTACCTGCAATGCACCCTCCCCACCACGAAACACCACCTGCAGTACACAGGGATTCAGAGTGTTGAAGTGTAGCAGTCACTAGTGTGTGCGCGCACACACACACACACCTGCTCACTTACAGCTGAAGCTTGTGGAGAGCTTACCAGGTTGTGTCGGATAAGCTCCTTAGCAAACTCAAAGGAGCAGGAAGAGATGTCGATTAGGTTCTTCAACTCAGCCTAAGGGGACCAGAGCACACGCACGCACGTGCACACACACACACACACACACAGACACACACACACACACGTCAAACCTACCAGCTAAAATCATCTAAGAAATAAAAAGGGCAACCACTCAGGTGTAACAGAGCAAGTAATTAAAAAAAAAAACATGAGAACAAGCAGCTCAGCCTCACACAAATGTTAGAAACTGTTGGACTTTTCATGCTACTGTAATAGCACATGGTGACATGTAAAATGGGTAAAGCTAAAAAAATATTAATTTAGACTTTTTATCATTACACCTTAAACCTTCTTAATAACAACTCATTACACAGTTACATTCACAACAATAAAGATGAAGAACCACCAAAGTATCGACCAGGACATGCAGCTCGGTACCTCTGCTGCTTTGCCGTTATAAAGTCTGTAGTGGTTGCAAGCCTTGAGGTTGAGAGCAATAGTGGAGTCGGGGATACTCTGCAGGTACACGGCCAGCACCTCTTGGGAGACATCATAGTAGTCCAGCTTGTAGTAACACAGAGCCACGTACACTTTCAGAGCCAGAAAATCTCTGAAAAGACGAGATTTAAGATAAAAAATTACTTTCTGGCTAATTTTGTCTTCTTTTTTTTTTTTTAAACAAGTATCTTAATAAATAAAGTTCTCACGATAATCATTATTATTAATTATTTTAAGCCTTCAAACACCAAGGCATGCAGACTGCTTCTACAAACATTTGTGAAAGAATGGGATGCCACCACAACAAGTCCACTTGGAAGATTTTAAAGGTTCTGTGATCAAACTTGCCAGCCGGTCGGAGTTTGCAGGTCCTCTCTGTTGTGGGGTTCCTCCCACAGTCCACAGACATGCTTGTTAGATTAATTAGTGTTTCTCAAATGGCTTTAGGTCAGTGTGTATAATTGTCTCTTTACGTGTCAGCTGTTTGGGATGTACCCAGCCTTTCACCCAGACAACACATCTATCCATCTGCACATGATCACAAAACAGCCCATCTTGCCAAGATAAAATAGTGTTCACATTACATATAGAAGTCTACACTGAGAGACAGTTATGCATTTCAAAACAACACATTTTCTCACACCTAGCAAATGACAGAAACTTGTTTTCTCGTGTCACGACTGTTGATATACATTCTCATTTTTAAATGAGAAAGTTGAAAAGGATATTTTAAGTTAACTGTAAATCTGAAAAGACTAAGATTTGAAGGTCTGTGGAGTGAAGTCTGTATCAAAGGGGGTCACTCTCCCTTTGCACTGTACTGAACTTTGTGGACAATATCCAACGGTAACATCTAGAAATGTTTAAATCAGTGAGATCAGACATTAAATAGACTTTACTCTGCCAGCTCCCCAGTACAAAATCCTGCACAACAGCTTTTATCCTCCACATGTAAGAAAGAGAAACCCCCCTGACAACAAATATTTTTTTACAAATCTCTATTTTTCAATAATATATTTTTAGTGAAGTCAGATGGAGCTAAAAAGTCATTACAGGAACCAAACAAACACAATCAAGGAAACACATAATGGCAGTCCAGCTAAGCCAAACGAGGCACATCGAGTGTTTCAGAAAAGTCGATTCGTGAATCTTCTCAGCACTAGTTTAAAATCTTTGCATTTCAGTGTCAGCAGTCAAAGGAAGTAGCGGTCCTCAGAGCTGCTGGCAGCTGGCAGATCTTGTACTGTCAACACAGTGAAACAAACAAACAAGCAAAAAAACCCACCTCAGCTGCTCACATGTTCCAAAGCCATGAATACATAATAACTCTGCAAGAAAAGGCAGGAGATGTCTACTGATATCAAAGTATTTTCATTTTTGTATCTGGATGCTCCAAATACAGCACAGTGGTTGGAGCAAGAAGGCTCACCAGGTCTACTGCACCGTCAATGGCACTATCTTTGTGTCTGCTCGAAGTGTCCAAGTCATAAAATCTAATACCCCTCCATTAAAAGACTCTCACCTTTTAAGGGGTTCCTGAGATGAGCTGAAGTGCAGCAGGAGTGTGAAACAAATGTCAAAGATTGAAAGGGAAGGAAAGGCACAGACCTGTTCTGCAGCAGAAGGCGTTTATAGATGTCTATGGCCTCCTGATAGTGCGAGCGCATGTAGTGGATGGATGCCAGGCTCAGCTGGTCCTCTGTCACATCCTCCAGGTTCTGGTGGAAACTCATCAGCCTCTTCTCATCATTGAACTGAGACAATAATACGAAGACAACGGACACAAAGGGAACAGCAATCAGAGGTGTGATCGCTTCTGGCAGCTGTAGACCTTCATGTGCTGAGCAGATCGTTTTCAGACACGCATTTTTTTTTTTATATCATTTCTATTGTTTTTTGGTAATTATTCCTGTGTTCTGACTGACCGGGGGTTAAAGTGGGATCTGGCAGATCTGAAGTAGTAGTGCAGTTTTAGGCAAAGAATCGCTTGGAAATAACACTTGTAAATATTTATATTGTAACACTATTAATTGCTGTTTTCTTTATATAGTTCATTTCATTACACATAAACTCATAAACTGTGCTTAACATAGAAGATAAAAACATCAGAAGCTGTACAGGTTTACAATGATTTTTCTTTGTGTTCAGACTGTGATCAGCAGACATGTGCTACTCCAGCTCTCTGGGCTGGCTACTGGCTACTCCGGGGTTTAACACTCTTTTTGGATCACTTCTGTGCAGTAGAGCTAGCAACATGCTCATCATTATACTAATATCTGTATGCATGAACATAGATGAGATTTACAGCGGGACGTAATCGGGGTGAGCGAGTATTCTGTCGCATCAGCTGGAAGCAACGCCAAGCAACACACGAAAATCTAACTGGCTTTATATCATCCTTAGATTTATCTACTAATGATTCCAGCTCACTTTAACTCCTGGTTATAACTGGCTTTAATGTGACTGGATTCAGATCACTGCACAGGAATCATTTCTGACACTTCATTACTGCCAGAGCCAAGCACACTTTCAGCTGTTTTTGAAGCTTCAATATATTGCAAAGGTGTATTGACTGAGTAAAAACTGAGTAAGTGAGTGCCACTGATGACTGTGGTTGTAAAGACAAGGGAGAGGGCAAGAAAACATGAATCAAACTCACAAACAAATCAGATGTAGATGAAAAAAACTTCAAAATCAGTGTTGCGTAAAAGAATTAACATGGTACTCAGACAAAGCACAGAAAATACATGAAAGTGTGATGATAAAGGGATAATTTTCAAACCTTGTGAGCCAAGTGAAACAGCAGCCTGTTTTGGAGGGGGGACATAGGTGCTAGGGAGAACAAGAGACACCAAATTCAGTTAGACAGCAAACCACACGAGAACAAGGAAACCATTCATTACAACATTACCTAGCTCTCAGTGGTTATATAACAACATCAGGACACAGAACTCACACAAAGAATGGGCCGTGGCTTAAATGCGAGGTAGTTCTTCAATCACACAGGATAACTTGTTAAATCTTATCAATAATCTCTGTGTACATCAAGTTTACACTCTTCAAAATAAAAGCCCTTTAAAAAAAATCCTGTAAGATTTTTTTTCAATGAAAGGCTTAAAATAAACACTAAAACACACAAATACCAAATCTTACACAAGAGGAGCATCTTTTGAGAACAAACTGGTGCGCGACACATCAAAATTAACTTGGTAAGAAACAAACAAAATAAAATGCGAATCATATTTATTGTCTAGTGGATCATTATTCTAAAAGATTATTCATTATTCACAGCTTTCTGATTGGCTGTCTGATGATGCACAACGAGGTTCTCACACCAGACATTGATTCTGCAAGGACGGTGATCTTAAAATAAAGTAAATACAGTAATCCTGAGTTTCCTTAAATGTGATGAAGCAAAGAAAAAAAACAAACAGATCAATGATTAGTCGTTGCAGTCTTTTTTTATAAGGCAATAAACTGCATCACCAATAAATCCTCACATGCTGATAACCCTTCTTGCTGCTGCAGGACAGCCTAGCTGAAGTATGTTGATTTGGACACACAGGAAGGGTTTCAACATGTTAAATGTCACTAAACATGGTCAAATTAACCTTGACTCTGTAATCAATCTATATGCAATACCTTTGCTTTCAAAAGCTTGCCATCAACTGCTGAACCAAGTAAGTACACATTTTTATATTAAAGCAGTTGCTGCTCTTGGTAAACCAAACATGTCCCAGTCTGGGATTCTACTTATAACAGTTCCACAGAATACTAGTGGACGTTTGCCCTTCAGTAACATTGTACACAAATATCTGCCTACCCTTGGATGCAGCCTCCTCTGCTTCTTTATAGAGCCCCAGAAAAAACAGGGCACAGGCCAAGTAGACCCAGACCTCAGCAGGACACTCAGGTTTGTTGGTCATCGACTTGTACTCCTATCAGGAAATGGAAAGAATATAATGGATATTCAAACATTACCCTACAAAAGCGTTTTGATATGTGAATAAAGTATTTGGGGGCTGTATCAAGGAAAACACGGGGATTCACACTCATGTACAACAAAAACTACCTCCATAGCTTTCTTGTAATCCCCCAAGTGAAAGGCGCAGTACCCAATCCAGAGGTCTGCATCCTCCTCTCTCTCGCCAATATTTTTCTGAAACTAGACATGACACAGCAACACATGAGCAGGTGCAGCAACACCTCAGTTGCTGCAGACAGTGAAATACAGTTTCACAGTGAAATACAGTTTCACAGTGAAACTGTATTTCTGAAACTTTAATTCCAGTGCTTGGAACAGGGATAATCTGCAGGACCCAAGAAAATAAATAAATAAATAAAAAAGTGTTTTGTTTTGTTTTTAACTTGACGTTTCACAAATCAACAGTCTAAACAGCAGCACTACTTAGCCTCTCATCATGGAGTTGTAAGAAACTAAGAATATACTGTATACTATATTTTAGTTTGATCTGCTCACACAGTCGTGACAATCTAATAATACTCTAACTTATCTCCCCATAGTCAGGGTTTGTCATGGGGGGGGAAATGAGCCTTTGGACAGTAGCTATACACGCAGGTGCAACTGGTCAGCATACACTCACCAACATTTTATTAGATATATCTGTTCAACTGATTCTTAATGCAAATAATTGGCCAAATCACATGGCAGAAAGTCAATGCATTTAGACATATTTAGGCAGGCAGACATAGTCAACAGTTTCTGAATTTCAAACTGAGCATCTGAATGGTGAAGAAAAGTGATTTAAGTGACAATGAATGTGGAATGGTTGTTGGTGCCAGATTGGGTGCTCGGAGGATTTCAGGAATTGTTGAACCTTGAAGCAGATGTAGTGGTCTGCTGATTCTGATTCTCACGTAAGACCACACTGCACACACAGTGCAGGTCAGGATTCAGTTACTTTTGATTTAGGAATACATAAAATCTCATAACTGTTCCATCTAGGGAAGGGTAGCCCTTGTGAAAAGCATTAAATATGCTGTTGATCCCACATGTGCAAGAGTTCGAATGGGAAATAATCTAAAATGAATCTACTCACATATAAAGTCCTGAATTATCAGGCCTTTGGGAGACAATGGATAGATATGCAAATCTTTGTGTGCCCATCTTCAATTTTAAAGGCACATTGTACTTACATTTGTCAATAAACTGACACAAATCAATAGTGCTAAAAAAGAGAGCTGGAGATGCAGAGAATGACAGCTGAATGGAGGGAATTTTTTTGTGTCTATCTAAATTTAAAAAACAAAAATGCGAAAAAGTTACACTGCAGGAGGTTAAAAAGTGGAGAGCCTCATCCAAAAACACATTCTTTGTGTATCTTATTTGTTTGTTTGTTTTTTCCTGCAAAAGGGGAGTTCTTCCTCCCCAATGTTGTCAAGCGGTTGTATATAGAGGCTCTTCTAAAGGTGGGGGTTCTCCCTCTATAACTGCAGGGTCTTTACCTTACGATATGATGAGCAGTGGATACCAAAAGATGTGTACTGAGTTTTTCCTTAAGTACCTCTAACAACGTCAAGGCTCCCAGGTAGTCTCTCTGCTGCAGGTATTCCTCCAATCGGGGGAGCTTGCTTTTATTTCTTTTGTTTTTCTCACCAATGCTCGTTGATGTCTCTCCTCCCACGGCTGGTTTGACCCGAGAGAGAATCTACCGAGGGAAACAAATTTACTATATCGAGTTATAGCACAGCTTCTACCTAAATGGTGGGGTTAGGGTTAATCGGACCACCAAAGGAACGGTTAAGCAAGGCAAAAACAAGCAGAAATATATAATATTATAAGATATCAGAACAGCCCTGGCGTTAAGTTTCCAAAAACATCAGCTTACCATTTCGACAAGTCTCTCCTTAGCTGAGGCTTGATTATCACTAACCCAGGTAACGTTTGGTGTTAGCTACGTTATTGCGTCCGTAACCTTTTACCATTTAATGGTCACTGTTGGTTTAATTTGTCATTAAAACCTCACAACGGGGTAAACGACAACTAAATTATCTTACGGCTCTGTCGTGATTTAAAAAACAAAGAGAGAGAGAGAAGAAAATAACAAGTTTTACGCTGTGGCGTGGTGTATTTTCTACTTAGATGTCGATAGCATTAGCTAGTTTGTAGTTAACAACAACATGGTTAAAAGTTTCCGCTCGATCACTTTCAAAATAAAAATTACGATCACTAGGCTTCACAATTTAGAGACTGTTTAACATCTATTCAACGCAAACTGTTTAACGGAGGCAGATTGTTTTCTCCTCTGAATAAGCCGAATACAAAGCTTGTAATATCGGGAAAAGGAACATAATACCATTTTGTATTCAATCCGAGTTTGCTGTTAAACAGGAAGCAGCACGGTTCTTCTACGTTTAGCTTGACTCAATGGTTTGGTCTTAGTTGCTTAGTGACCGAGTAGCGAGCAATGGCTGCGCCGTTTCATTGAGTTGGATTTATTCAGTACGTTTATTAAAAATAAAAATAGAAACATAGATATGGATTCCAAACGAAACAGAAAAAAATCAACCACTAACTTATTTTTTACTGCCGCATATTAGTATGGTTTGTCATTTGTCCTCAATTAATATTAGTATAATTTTCTCGAGACGATTTGTGCGTGCCCCAGTGGCCTAATGGATAAGGCACTGGCCTCCTAAGCCAGGGATTGTGGGTTCGAGTCCCATCTGGGGTGGATCATTTTCTTGGTATTTCTAGGTTTATCGTTCTTTAAGATACGTTTCACTTTACACGGTCATCATTGAAGCTGAGTGCAAACATCACAATAAAGATAAGCGTCACTGAGTCATTCTCACTGCTTGATTTTTCTTTCTTTCAAAGACATACCCTATACAAAAGTATAAAACATTATAGTATATGTCATGAAATTAAGTTAAATGAATATCACTTTGGAGCAATGAATCTTTAGGTTAAGTATATGGAGTCCAGTTCACCGCACAACAATCAGCATTATTCTCACTTCAGCTCAGCAATGTTTATATAATGACAAATCAAAGAAATAATCCTCTGAAAGCAGTTTATTTTTCAAGGTAAGGACATAACAACATTTTAGAAAGGAAGCTAACAACCCAGGAATCCCATAGTCAAACTTATGCACAATAAAGAAACATAAAGAACATTAAAAAAAAAAAGAAATTTCCTTTTAACAGTAAGAAACCTGCAGCAGAACAAAACTCAGGGAGGGGCAGCCATCTGTGACTGTTTGTGTGGGGATACAATAAGGATGTTAACTGTAAGACACAGCAGCATTTGTCCATGTGAAGCTGGGAAATACTGAGAAAAGAAAAAGTTATATACATCATAGGACATTGACTGGCAAACTCAATGAAAAGCAAACTCCAAAGTAACAAAAACACAATTATAAATGCATGGCTTGAAGGCAAATAAGTTATTTTGTTTAAATCAGTCTCTGAAGGCTACCTAGGTAGGCAGGCAGGTAGGATTTGTTTGTCATCCACAGTAAAAACAGCAGTTCAGACACTGAAATTCACCATAAAACAATTTTGCATGTCCATCTTGATATTTGTTTTATAGAAACATTGTGTTAATGATCCATGATCCACATCATGTTGTAGACAGATTGTACATAGATATGTTAATGATTCATGTCATTAACTGTGTCTTCTCTTTTATCAACTCGATCCAAGTGACAGGGCTCAAAAAAGACAGTCTCATTCCTCCCGTGAGAAGAAGCAGGATGGAGAAGATCGTCATTGGAGCGCTCATTCTTACCAGCGCCTGCAGGTTGGCTGCGATCCAGATTGATATCTCAGAAAACACGACCTTGTTAGAGGCAGAGAAAATGTGCATCAGTAAGGGTCAGATTCCTCGTATCAACTTAATGTGGTGAAGAAGAAAATGACCTGGGAGGGGGCCATGAGGCACTGCAGACAGAGTAAGAGTATCCTCATCGGCCTGCTCTCTGCCAGTGTGACCACTCTGGCCCAGATGACTCTGTACCAAAACACCACAGAGCGGGTGTGGATCAGTTTGCGTTACCTGGGTGATCGCTGGCTGTGGGTGAACGG